CTTTATAAGATCTAGTTATTCTAACTTCCTCCTTTAGTCTATTTATAGTCCTTTTTTATTTTTACACTGTGTCTGTATTTGCAATATTTGTGCTTTGTGGTCAGAAAAGCCTGTATCAGTCACCTTAAGATTATATTCCCATATCTCTTTATTGATTATTATTTGATCTATGGCTGTTTGACTCGTGAGTCCTATTCTCGTTGGGGCCTCAACTATTGCTTGTAGGCCATACGAGTTCAGCATTGTTTGCAGTTTTTGATTTATCCTTTTCCTTAGAAAGTCTATATTGAGATCGCCTACTATAACGATTTTCTTCCCTTTGTTTATCAAATTATTTATTATTGTATCCATGGTTTCAATAAATATATTAATATTACTATTTGGGGTTCTATAGACACAGATGATAATTATATTATATTGGATAAGTTCTGCTATACAAGCTTCAAAGTGCTATGGCCCCACAATCACACAGGTTGTGAACTGCTGATTCATTTTCACATGTTGGGTTGTGTGTCAGTCCCACCTTGTAAAGGTGTCCTTTCAGGTGGTAGTGTCTGGTAAGTAATCCTACCACCGATCTTAGTTGATCTCTGTATAATCTCAACAGATCTTTCATTCTTCTGGCAGAGGGTCTTCCTATAAAACCCTTTGCCTGTCTGAGTCCAATAATGGATTCCAAGTATTTTTTATGGTTTCTATCAGTCTAGTCCCTCATGTTTTTGTTGGCAACTCGAGTTGAGATGCTGCAAGCTGCCTCAGGTCCTATGAACGGCTGTTCAGATCGTGATATGGGTAGGTCACTTGGGAGACAATTGTGAAGATTTATTTTGTTAAACGTAAAATTATGGGGTTTTGGACTGTTTGTTTTTGTCAGGATGCAAAGTCATGGTGTGCATGTGTGAACACAGTGCTTATGTTCCATAAAGAGCAGATACGTATTGTCTATACTAACACAGGGACCATAGGTTTCTCAGGAAGGTCCCTGCATTATGAACTTCACACTTCCTAAGATTCTGAAGTCTGTAGAGAAAAAATCTGTACAGAGCAACTGTTATGGGTTAGATGTAATGAGAAACAGCTACAGCTAGGAGAGCATATATTGTTTCATGTGTGGTGTTGTACAGCCATGATTGATAGAAGGTGTGATGCCATTACAGAACTGTACAAATTCAGAGAAGGTTTTAGTGGGTCCATATGGTGAGACATGCCCAGCAAGTCATGATACAAGCCAGGCCATGAATATTAAAGCCGAGGATGTCTCGGACTCACAAGAGGAAGCGGATCCTGTGCGAATGACATTTCAGGAAATAAAGGCTAAACCTGAGGTGAGCTCTATGTTTCTGTATGTCCACAGTTAGACAGATATCACAAATAGGCAAGAATTCGAGTTGTCTTTCTCATCTCCATCTGTCTGTGCACTTGAAATAACTCCACTGTGCTGCTGACATACTGAAGGCCTTTATCTGAAGTGTCTGTAGACAGTTATAGTTTGTCGAATGTATCCTGCTTGTGATATACTACTTCTGATGCAGATGAAATTAAATTTTGCATAAACGGAACTGTATCTTAGAGAAATTCTATAGCAGCAAAAATCCTTAGGGAATTACAGAACTGTTCGCAGTTAGTTAGTGATACACTTGTTAGAACCAATAAGTTACTAGGACTCTTGTGAGCTAATTCCAATGAACCCCACAAGATATTTATGATGTGATGAACAGGTTTCAAGGTTACACAAGATTCTGCATTCTCTTGCAACAAGAGTGGCAAAAATTGTACTATATAGAGCTCAAGAAATGTTTCCTGATGTAAGTGAAAGAATTCTTCATGGTTCGTGCTTGTGTGCACAGACATGAATTTTATTGTATGTCAGTTGTCTTGGCCAAAGAAACTAAATATTTTGTGACACAATTCTGTTTCTTTGCATAATCCACGTGGGGACTTTTGTACACTTGGGTGATAACGGTTTGGGATATTATTTAGGAGAGCAGTGCATTCAAGGGGAGCGATGTGGGTAAGTCTTGTAGCGCACATGCAACAGTGAGAAATGCATACAAAGTTTTGGAGGGAAAACCCTAGCGAAGCAGACCACTTGGGAGACCTAAGTGTGGATTTGAAAGGAATAATTTGGAAGGGTTTGTACTGGATCTGTTTCCTTTAGCATACAGAGCCATGATGAGCATGTGTGATCAGAGTAATGAGCCCTTTCTGGCATTCTCAGCTTATCCTGTATTCATTCCTCTTCTCCCCATGAGCTGCCTATCTCATCCTCCTTGACATGATCATGTAATTATGCTTGGTGAATGATGGTTACAAGTTGTGGAGCTCTTTATTATGATGTTTTTATGTACCAAAACAGATATTTTCTGTACTGCCCTTGTGACCGATAGTTTCTCGGGAAGGTCACTGAGCAAGGAACTGAGTAATTTCTAGTGATCGTGATATCTGTAGAGAAGAACACCTATACAGAACAGCTCTTATTAGTTTAATGTTATGAGAAACAGCCTTAGCAAGGAGAGCATATGCCTTTCTAATGTGTGGTATTGTGCATCCATTTCTGAGAAGGATATGATGGTTTTTACAGAACTGTAGAAATTTGGAGAATGCTTTAGTGGGTCCATATGGTGAGACATGCCCAACACCTAATGATGCAAAACAGGCCATGAATGTAAAAGCGGAGGCAGTCTCAGATGCAGAAGAGGAAGAGGATCCTGTCCCAATAACATTTCCAGAAATAAAAGCTGAACCTGAGGTGAGCTGTATGTGCACTGTTAGGCAGATGACACAAATGTGCAGAAATGCCGCTTGTCTTGTCTGTGAACATGAAACAACTCCACTGCGCTGTTGACTAGATTCTGGAGGTTTCTTTTTCCTGAAATGTCTCCAGGCAACTGTAGTTTGTAGAATGTTGCTTGTGATGGCCCATTTTCTTTTGAGCAGATCTGATAGATGAAATGAAGTACTGTATAAACTGAATGTTTGCGGTAAATTCTCTTTGTCTGTCACATCCACAAAGCAGTGCTTTGGTACTACATCATAGAGTTCCCAAGATCTATAAATGCTGAAGTTTATCATTTGTTTTCTGTCTCCCATGCAGTCTGTATCCATATTATAACATAGAGGTGTCAGTATGTTGAGGATTTGTAACAGGGTAACTAATGATTCTCTAATGATTTGTGACAATGTGTGACTGAATATAGACTCGTGTCACCTGCTTCCCTTTGTTTGAAGTAAATTTAATATACCTCACACCATTGGAGTTGCCCCTGCACCTGATATCAGGTGACTGGTTGTCATGACTGTTTTTTTTTGTTCTCTCTCAGACAAAGCTGACTGAACATTAGATGCAAAGAATGTGTAAAAGGTGTAGAAAGCAATAGTGAAGAACTGGCATTGGCAACACGTCCTAATACAAGTATATTGACACAGTTGTGGTGAAATGGAATATACAATGCCTGTAATTAAACACACAAATAAGGCTCTTAATGAACATCAAAGAAAATTTCTATATAAACATATAGACAGAGGTTCTTACTTTTCTTGGCCAGTTTACAGCTCTGCATTTCACAGCGACTGACACACTGCTGGCTGCAAGGCCCACGCAAATTTTGACAATGAATCAATATGCCTGTGGCCAGAAACTTGTAGAATGAAGTGTACAATTCACAGGTCACAAGGTGTTGAAAATGATGTCCCCCTACACTTAGACATTCCTTGCACCAGCAGAAGGGGTTCTGATTAACCCTTAACCTTTAACAGATGAATGTTATATATATCTACAGCAAGTAGCACCCTGTCTTGGCCAAATGTTATGTATTTATGTATATACATGGCAGGACTCCTGTTCCCTTTGGGAGTGCTGACAGTTTGATCTTGGGTTTGAAACCAAAACAAACCCATGCATTTTCATGTCAGTGGTTCATTCTTAGCCCTGAACAATCAAATTGTTTATCATGGTACTGGTTTTTATACTATTTATGTTTAGCTATGACTGTTTATGGTGTGGTCAGCCAAATAGAGCACAGTTTTGTTTTGAGAACTGAGGAGTAAATATTCATCTGTGCTGGTATGTTAGTGCTTCCAGAGCTTTCAAGGAAATGTGACATATTCAAGGATTGGTTTTCAGTAGTGAATTATCAGTTAGGAAGTCAGTATCGGACTGTCATATATTTCTTTGTCAGTTTGAAAGTCAGTGTCAGGCTGTCATATATTTCTCTATATATTGTCACGTGTTGGGTATGTAATGTGACAAATAACTTCAGGCCATATTGAATATAGCAAATTTATTTCACATTTGCTCGCACACTTATACAATTAACAGTTACACAATTACTGCCATCGGCAGTATCTCAATTTACTTCCACTGCTGTCAGCAACTTCACAATCCACACTGTCACTCCTGATCACACGGTGTGCTCACATACTGCTCAGCCTGAGTTTTATACCATTCCCTGTTGCCTCATGTTAATGGCGGAATGTTTACTGGCCTGTTTACAGCCGCTGTTGCTCCGATGCTGTTATGTCACCACTGGGGGGTGGGGTGTTCTGCATAGTGAAAATACATAACAATATTTTATTTTGTGTGTCGGAAGGGCTATAAACCCATTGAGCTGGTATTATTTTATGAGTAAAAGGCATCTTCATCACTGTGACTCTTGGTATCAGTGTCGGTCTGGCACTCTTTTTGACTAATATTACAATTACTTTGCATCACTATTGTGCAAGTATTACTAACAGGTGATAGTATCGCTTTGTCAGTCAACATAATTTATTCAATTTTGCTGGAAACCCTCCTCCCCCAAGATAATTGTTTAATTGCACAAACGAATATCATGGTCAGTGGTGTTTTTCAAGGGAGGCCAGGTTCATCTGGGACCCAACTAGTCGACTGCAGGGGAAACATTCACAGCACTATCCAACCAAAGGGAAACAAAGACGTCATGTGTATCACTAAATGAGAAATGCAGTAGCCCCATTTTCTGTTGTTCAAAGTGTGATGTTGCACTGTGTGTCGTGGACTGCTTCGAGAAGTGTCACGCGCATCAAGAGTGTGAGGCACCATAAACTGTGAAGTGACTGCATACTTCTGTATACATTTTATGTACATACGTAGCTGTTGCAAGTCGTTCACACTCCTGCTTCTACAGTGTGGTGTGCCCAATACCATTTCACACATTTCACCATTTCAAGTAGTGGCCATTATCTGGCAAAAGCCGAATGTTTAAATTGTCAAGGAATCTTGTGTGGCAACCTAGGAGGTGACTCATATGGATTTTCTCATGGTGTCATGGTGGATATGTGTATTGAACTGACACTGTGCTATTCTTCTTCTTGAAGCCTTTTATTGTCACGGGTAAAGGGGTTTTGCCGGGCCATATGCAGCCTTTCTTTTAGCTTTTTTAGCTCAGGCTTTATTGTTATTTCATTCTAGGAGCCTCGGTCCCTCCCTCCCCCCTCCATCACCACTCTCACGCTTAACGAATTTAACATCTCACTGTATTGAGGCTTCAAGCTTCTTTTTCTTGCTATTAGTATTTATCATGTTATTTACTCACATTTTCCAGGGTAATTTGAATGAACTTCAAACCATACATAGTGAGGAGCACCAGTATTCTTGTGATGAGTGTCGTGATTCATTCAGTCAAGAGGAAATTCTGGTAGCACATCAGCACATACATAGTGGGGAGCAGCCATTTTGTTGCATCATGTGTAAGAAGTCATTCAGTCAGCAGAGTAGTCTGAAGGCACACCAATGCATACATAGTGGGGAGAAGCCATATTTCTGTGATGTTTGTAAAAAGTCATTTAAAAAGCAGAGTCATCTGAAGACACATCAGCGCGTTCATAGTGGCAAAAAGCCATTTTGCTGTGATGTATGTAGTAAGTCATTTAGAAAGCAGAGTCATCTGAAGACACATCA